AAAGCATGGACTACAACCTTGATGCTGTGGGACTACAGTCTGTGTTTTTTTAAAGCTGGAATCTACAGCTAGATTTACATGCATATATGAGGTACAGTAGGAATGTGATTGAAGGGAAACTTATGTAGCTCATGAATGAGCTCTGAATTCAGCAATTTTTACACCCATGCCTATGTAATTGCTTTACAAGTTATGCATGTCCAAAAGCATTTTGGCAAATCAGGGGTCTGCTTAAAAGAACATTTAAAACCAAAAAGTAAATATATTAAAAATCAGTCCTTGAAAAATACCATTCAGCAGCAGTGACTGAGTTTATTCTGTGAAAAGAGACATCTTCCTACAGCAAGAAGAATAAAGAAAACAAGCAGTAAAGACCCACATCTCCATGACATGAGTGGAAGCACGTATTGAACTTTGAACACTGGGTTACATTTCCTTCTGTGCAGGGTAATACCTGCAATCTCAAATGAAATCCTGTTTTGCATTTATTTCAGTTGTTCTCAATGAGGTAGTGGCAGGTTCTGCCAGCCAGATCTCTGTTCCACTACTGTAGTAGTGATTAGGAGCTCCAGTGGTCAGGCGCTTCCCTCCATGTGTTATAGGAGCTGTGTGAACTGAGGCAGCCCTTTTACCAACGCATTGCAACCTCTGTTAGCAAGAGACAACACGCAAACACACAGGCGAAGCACAAGGAAACAGATGATAAATGACCAGTTGGGACCACTGTCCTTCAACCTGTTGCTTTTATTTCAGACCAGACTACCATCCTAAAACATAAGTGCAATCCAATACTCCAAACATACTCCAAGAGAAAACGTGGGGTCTTCTGAGGAAAAATGTACTTGAAAACTATCATGTCCTTCCAGGACATACCTTAAGCAGATACAGTGAAGCAGGTCTTCCATTTGGAGGATAACTGACTGACATGTACATAATGAACAGAGCCCCTTTTCCTTATTGCTGGTGAATCAGTTCTTAAAAAACCCAACCAACCAACTAACCAACCAAAGCCCACCTCTCTTTCCTAGTGGAAGGAAAGTAGTTCATAGAGAAGCAGGATGTGCAGAAAGTTATCCTCCAGGGGTAACCCAGCGTCAAAGCAAGCCAAAGAGAAGAGAGGAGTTCAGTTATGCTCTTACATTGACATTAACGGAAGTTGAATTAGGTCCAGCATTAGTAGAAAAAAGTAGCTCTCCAAAGCACTGGTAGAGCAAACACTGTTGCCATAACTACCTCACTCCCAGAAGCACACCAATTTAATTTCTACAGTTAAATATTTACAGAGTAGATTGCATGCTGTCAGGAGTTGCAGGAACTGCCTGTAGAATGCAAATACACAGCCCTGTCTTCAGGGTCCTCCCTACACACCTAGTTATCTATCAGGAAGGAGGAGCACAGCTGCCCCAGGAGGGAGGACAAGCCAGGAGCCGAGGGTACCCACGGCACAGGCTGGGAACTGACTGCACCAGCAGGACACAGTCCCACAGCACCTGAGCAAGGCAGGATGGCGACAGTCACAGGCCCCACTGACAGCCCAGGCATCTCCAGGCCACACAAGCCAACCTGTCAGAGACAAGGTCAAGTGAGTCTGGATAAGCAGGGGGGACACTCAGCTGTACCTGTGGCACAGCTTCGGCAAAGACCAAGGACTTGCCTGACTCCAAGGCAGGCTCTTGGCCACAGGCAGAAGTTCCAGGCAGGATAGTCAGGGCAATTAATGCCTGTTGTTGCACCCAGGATATAGCACTGCCCTTGCACCAAACTGCTCCAATATGCTTCTACCAGCCATCACCTAAATCACTCTGAACCATTCCGTAAACTTTACTACTACTTCAGCTATATATGACTGCAGTAATTTATCTTTGTTGGAGCCACCCATGCATCTATAGAACCACTGGACTCTTTCGTCCTGTTTTTGCTTCATCCCTCTCACACCTCTGACATTAAAGAAACTTGCACATAAAAAAATCAAGAAATCTAGTCCAGATCCATGGAAGTGGATCCTCTGCAATACCAGGTTAATTAGTATGTTTTGGCTTGTCTAACCTGTTCCTAAAGACTTCCAGCAACGAAAAACAGCCCAGTCCCCAAGAAAATGTATTCTTTAACTATCTATACCATTAAAATATTTTTTAAATCTGAAACTGCTTCTGGTACTCCCCCATGATTCAACTTTAAAGTATGGACTCAGATGCATGATAGTGCTTTTAATGGCCAGATAACATCACTCATTAGATGCACAGTTAACAACTGCAGTGGTATTATGGTTGTACATTTCAGCCCCACATATAGTCTCTATCGACATACTGTGACAAAAATTATGCATATATATAATGTTTATCCAGCTTGATGCCGATTTCCCTTAGAAACAGTGACATGCAGAATCACTTTAAGATGAAGCCCTACAATTATGAAATTTTTCAGGGCAGAAACTTCGTAACTGTCTCGCTTGCATGTGTAAATAGTGCATTACAAAATCCTTTAGTTAAGTTCCTTAGGAAGGACTGAAGAGTGTGAAGTCGGGGATCCTACCTAAAGCCTTCACTCTCCACACATTTCTGCTCCAAGGCAGCAGCCAAATGCCACAAAATTCTCATCCATAATAAAAGTTCACTTTGGCATCATGAGTCAGAGGATACCACTCACTGCACCACGGGATTTAAGAAACAAAGTATGATTACCTTGACAGATGACCATATTACTTTGAGGCATATGGTAGTATGACTCTTGTAATGTTCCCAGGTAGTCCCTTGCATGTTGGGTGCTGACTATTCCAAATGGGTTCAGATGGAGGTTACCTTACATTAAAACTATGTTTAGTCCTAAGAAACAAGTGTTTATTAAAAAAATAAAATATCTTGAAAATACTTTCACAAGTACATATACATAGAGACACTAGGGCTTTAATCTTTCAGACTTAAAAACAGGCTTGTCTCTATAATCCTAGAAATAAAAAAGATAGTGTTTTAAATTATAGAAATCACACATCAGCAAAGTCACACATCAGCAGTAACATTTACATGATTACATTTGGTGTAAATTTCAAGACAAACAAAATAGTAAACCAGGCTTCAATGAAAAAAAAATTCTTTAAAATGTATGTTCTCATTAGAGGAAATAACAATCTTAGAAGGCTAAAAATTATTCTGTTATAGGTTGAACACTATTGGAGAAATTGTCAAAGGAAACAGACTGTCATATTGGTTTTTTGGGTTACCTCAAGGGTTGAATTTGCATTTCCCTAGAATACTACCATAAATAATTATTACTTATTGCTGGCCTCAGGCATAACCCAAACTAGTACACCGTTTACTTGAAACAAACAAGTTCGTTCAATATTGCAGAAGTGACAATTGTTCATTTATTTTGTTGTTCTTGATTTCAATGGGATTGTTAAGAGTAAGGAATATGGGGTTGGATCACTAAACACTGATAAAATATTTTAGACTAGTTTAAGAAAAAAAAAAGAAAATCTGCATCGTATGCTTCTATTGAAGGGTCTCATTTGTCTGTGCATAATGTACTAGTGATATTCAGAAACCAACAGAAGAGGTACTACATTCAGAAGTTGATTGCAAGAGTCCAAGCTGGCTGTTGGCCTATGAGGACAGCCAATGCTAAGCATTTACATCTACTTAATGCTGTGCCATGAGGATCCTTTCTTTGGATAGCCGCAACCCCTGAAGAACTAATCCTAGGTTATATGCTAAGCATGCTGGTCAGACAACATCTGTCTTACATGATACTGAAAGCTCTAAACAGCAAACCAAACAGCTTTTATTGTAGACTGTTCCATCTTGGCTTTAGAAATATCAATACTGCTTCATTCTTCCAATACAACTATCAGATATATTCAGTACATTTCACTGAGAAGAATACACTAAAACCCATAGCTCCCTTATGAGGTAGGTAAGTCAGATTCTCTCCACTTAAAGCAGAAAATTGAGGCACAGTACAGCTAAGTCTGTGACACTGCTTGAACCAGTCCTTCTCCCAATATTTTATTCTAGTAAGAAGATCACACATAAAAATGAATGATGTAATACAGGTATACAAATGGATCGGTATTCCTATCAAAATATATAAACTTCACCTATAACAGTTTACTCCATTCTATTGAAACACTGGCTGAAAAACAGAGTTCTGATAAATGCAGTATTATAAAGTCTGAAAAGGAAAACATAATGATAATGGCTTTATAAAAACCCGAGATGAACTCTTGATGGACTGAATTCATTTGGTGAACAGAATCCCACAGACTTTTAAAAGAACATGAAAAATGAGATCATTTGGTAAGACTGTTAGACTGAGGCTGACGTTGCATTTGATAATGGGGCAGATTTGAAAGCATTTACTGTGCTGGCTGCAAAAACTCTGATGTGAACACAGCTTCTGCATAGTCCTCACAAACATCCTGCAGCTCTGCTGCCACATCACATAGGGCTTCTTCTGTTAGTTGTTCTGCAAGACTGAGGGAGAGGGAGGGAAATAAATAAAAGGTTCAGAAAGTCAGATTTCAAATTCCAGTCATTTATACCATTGATATCAATGCTCTGATTTTAAAAGGCAAATACTCATTTTCCTCATTCTTTCAACTGCTTAGCCCAAGAAAAGATCTGATATGTGTTCCAATATGTGCTGTGTAAGATATCAGAAATTCTTTCCTCAGTCTGGTTCATAGCAAAGAACATACTTCAGGCTTAAGAGTGTTGAGAGATCTCAGTTGCGTCCTTTTTTGAAATACTTAGATACTAATCCAGCTTTGGGAGTAAGAGTTAACATACAATGGTGCTCATCCAAAGGCCATTGAAGTAAATGGGAAGCTGCTTATTGATTTTAGCTGCCACTGAATCAGGCCTTACTGAGAGCAATAAAGATTAAGAAAAAGTGAGATGAGAAATTTCAATTTTCAGTGATCTCTGGGCCATAGATGTTACAGAAGGGAAAACTATTTTAGTGTAAGAACACAATTGTTTACTGGCCTCTTGAAAGCTTCTCTTCAGTTTTGCATATATTCTAAAGTATCATAAAGTTAGTCTTTCTAAGATCTTTTAAGCATATCATGGGAGTGTTTCTTTTAAACATTGTGTGATACTATTTTATATAAGCAGATTTATAATACCCTCTGGTGGTAAGAATAAGTCAATGAAGCATGCTGGACATCAGATTGCGTTTGCAGTTTGATTTCAAGTAACAATGTGTATCAGGCAAATGGCAGCAGTGGAATTCAGCTGTCAGGAGGAGAGATTCACTGCCATTTAATCTATCTGCCAATCCCAAGAAGGTGCCAGTCCTTGAACTACCCAGCCGCACACCAATTATAAAAAGGAGTACAGTTCAGAAGGCAGAATGACAGTACTGAGAATTGAAAAGGCATATTTCAGTGGTTTAGTTCAGTAGATTCAAATACAGTGGTGTAACCACAGTTATTAAAATGTTTGCCTACTTATCCACAGTTGGGAAAACCATCACCACACATGATCATGCAAGTCATCTCAAATATTGCAGGACCTGTTCCTGGAAACACAGATTCAGATGCCAAATGTCATTCAAATGAGCTACAGCACCGATTTCAATGCTACTACATTAAAAATGTGTGCAGAAGATTAAAAACTCTTGGCAACCAAGCTTGATGTCCAATCTGCCAACACAGACAATTATGGCAAACCACTCCATCTACAAAGACTGAAGTTAGATTTTTGTAATTCTTTTTTAATACTCCAGAGTTTTCTTCTTCATTTCTCTCCTCCCATAGTCAGAAGTCATCTGATTGCCACTCTGCAGGGGCAACAGCCCCTCTATGCCAACTGATGTTGTGCCAGTTTTTCTACAGTTCTCAAAGAGCAGGACTAGCAAGGTTCAAGGTCAGCCTGTATATCCATGCTTTTTTTGGGGCTGGGACTTTACAAGACCAATAGGTGATTTCTGAAATATATCATACATACTGAAAATGATTTCTAGGCAATTGTCAATAATCAAGAAAAGTGCAAGGAAACGATAACCAGGGATATAATTTAGTTGCTACACCTGTTACTGAACAATCAAAATGCTTATCCAAGCTTCAGTGCAAGGGTGGGTATTTCAGCTTACGTTGCCCTGCTTGCTTAGTAGACACTGAGCGTGATAAACAATTTTTCTTTGCCAGGAAGTGAACAGCAGAGAGACTGTTACTTATTGCTTCTTCCCTTCTTCTATTTGTACTAAGGGATGGTAAGTCACCTATGTCACACTTCCCACAGTGAACTCCATGAAGTATGAAGACTTGTGGAAAAGGAAGCGCTGAAATCTGCACTAAGGTCAGTGGTGTTTTTTTAAAGAGTATCTACTGTTGTTCCATGAAACATCAACTTCATAATCCCTCACCACAAAGATTAAAACTTGCACAGCGCTTGATTTCTTTTTCATTTGGGGGAAAAAAAAAAAAGTTAATTCTGTTTTTCTTCAATTTACCTGTTGGTGATAGTCTTCTGAAAATAATTTAAGGCACCCTATATTTCACACAGTTGTTTTTGTGGTAACACCATAGAAAGATGTGAAAAATAATCACTCCTCCAGGGCATTTTACTCCCATATCCTTTTGTTTTATCCAACTACCTTAAAAATCCATGAACACCAAGTACCACTAGAGAAAAAGTCCAATAGCCAACTGCTTCTGGCTTTCAATTTGTCAATTAAATGGTCCCCTTCCCACTCCTTTCCTGAATAAGGACAGAAACACCTGTTCATCAGTTGATACATTCTCTTCAAAAACACATAGTTCATATACCTCTCAGCAATCTGCCATGGATTGAAACTGCCTACCGCCTCATGGGAAATAAGCTTTAGGTGATGCTTGTATCTGCTGTTATAATCCAAGATGCTCTGGAGCATATAGTTTGGCACAGAGAGAGACATATGACATTCTTTCTGCAGGGAATTCCGAGTCAATGGCTGCAGAATGTAATTTCCAGTCTGCAATTTCTCCTCTGCGTCTTTGTTTTCATCAATATCACTGAAAATATAAAATATTCATTAAGCCACAACTAGATTTTCAAGTATATTCTTGAAGGATCAGAAAATCTCTTCAAATAGTAATAATAATTTTCTGTAATGAAAACACTATAATGAAGACACACAGCTCACATGCAGCACAGTTTAGTGTAGGGGCAAATATTCTACTTACTTGCCATCAAAAAGTTTTTCAAATAAAGTGTCCATTTCTGGCTCTGTGCATCCAATTAATTTGGTTATCTGAATTGGATGAGGCGATACAGGTCTTTTAGCTACTGATGCAATTTGTTGTTCTAAAAGGAAGAAAATAACATTTAAAATGTTTCTTTGGAAGAGAAAAAATACATTTACTGCAGGTAAGTCCTCACAAAGGCTTTTGCTTCTTTTAAGAGGAAGTCCTTCAGATAAGTAAAATACTGAAGGTGACAAGCCCCTAGAATGTAAATTCAATATAGCTTTTCCAAGAGCTCAGTGTATTAAAGCTGAGCATTTTAGAAATCCTACCTTTAGTATAAATAGTTTGTTGTGTCAGTGGATACTTCTAGATGAAAGATAGAAAATACCACTCAAACTAGCATAGTCTATTAAGCTTGGCAGTAAATACAAGACATGGAAAAAAAATCCAACAAGATCATAGAATCATAGATTAGCTAAGATTTGGGCTAAGCCTTCACCAGTCTTATTCTGAAATTTTCCATTTTTCCATTAAAGTCAGTATGGGATCAGATACTTAGCTTGGGAAAAAAAAAAAATCAGTGTAGCTTCACTGTTGTACTCAATCAAATAGCAGGATAAAGAACAGAGCAGGGTGATGGGAAAAACAACAAGCATAAGTCATCCTTATTAGCATGCCATTGTGGCAAAAAATATTAAAGTATGTACACTTATGTATGGGAAACATCAAACTATTGTTCGGAATGCTACCTTTCATTAGTGAACAGTTTCCAACTATTATTACCTACGTCCCTCTCAATTAAAAATTTAATCTGATGTGAAAAGTTAGTTGTATCTTTCATCTGAAGGACTTTACATTCTTTCATTTATTTTCTATCCAATAAAAACAAGCAGGAAAAATGTGATTACTGTGAACTGGAAGTACCAAACTGTGGTTTTTTTCAAGGATTAAATACTTTTTGCTGAAGCACATTGGATAATGAATTCTGTACTGAAAAATCCAGATTTTCTGAGGCTATAAAAATTATAGCATGTGTGCTGCAAGATGTAGAAACATCATCACCATCACTTGAAAGGAATAAAGAGAAAAATATTCTAAGCTTAAGTAATTTAATATTATCTTCTGTGTACTGTCAGAAAAACTTAAAACTGTCATGGATTGACTGCTGCACTAATATTTACCTAACATTTACTCTTGAACTCTAAGCCATTTAAACTGATAGTTTTTCAAAACAAAGGAAAGAAAATGGGAGAAGCAAACAAGAAGATAAATATCTGCTTGCTCCTGTGCCTAAGGAAAACAACAGCAGGAACAGAGACTGTTTCACTATACCTTACTTCAGCCTGTGAAATCTTAAAAATAGTTGAATAGCACGAAAATTATTACTGTTAAGTATTTAATGGTGTTTCAAAGGAATCAAGTCAAATGAGTACACACTAAATATTTTTTTCAAGGTTAAGATTTAGAGATTTGCCAGTGCCTTTCTCAAAACTGAAGACAGGCAAGTCAAGAAGGGCTTAACAAGAAAACAAGTAAACAAGTGAACTAGCTGTCTTCTGGAGTAAATTTAAGTAGCTTAAAGATGAATTGGAGTGTACGTACTCATGCAATATCATCTTCACTGCAGAAAAATCATTACTCACATTTTGGTAGAAAAGAAAATATCTAAGCTAAGGAATGACAATTACTTAGAAAAGAGACAACATTCAAACTTAACACCTGATGACTGGAAGTATGTGTTAAAGATTCCTATCCCTCAGCTAAGTTGCACCAGCAGTGCTTTCCATCCAAATGAAGCCCTGATAAAGGCAAGTAGAAAATTACAGCCCGCATCCAGAAGAGATCCTTCATCTTTAAAATACTGATTTTAGAACTATATTTTAGGAATAGTCCTCTGAAAGGAACACCTATAGTAAAACACGTGTCTGGATGGTGCTATTTGATCACACATAATCCAATGATTTTGATTTTAAAGATACAGATTACAGGAAAAACAAGTTGCATTAAAAAGACACTTACCCATTTTTTCTGTCTGAGCCCAGAGCTCTGAATCACTATACACAATCTGGTTAAATCTCCTGCGTACAGCCTCCTGGTATCTCTGGTTTTGAATATACAAAATTAATCAGTCAACACATACTTAGCAGTTCAGCTGTAGTAGTTATCACCCAATAGGAAAGCAGGTCATGATCCTCCTTGGTCAAAATAGTCTCATTTTGCATAACACAAAAAAAGGGTAGGGGGGTGAAATCACAGATAAACATCTTTTTCAAAATGCCATACCTGAAAACTCAACTAGTTGCCAGTACCTTATAATGCTCCTCCCATTTCAGAGCAACAGCAGCTGGCCAAACATCTGAAGGGCCTTCACACTGTTTCTGCCTTACCAACAGTGAATTCAAATGTATGCTTAAGTGCCTCATATGGACAAGGACACTACACAATGTAAGCTTCATGCTTTCAGCTTATGAATAAATGGCTTAAAACTAAATGGCACTAAACTCAGTAGTTCTAAGTTACGATAAATTTCACTGAACAGGAAGGTGGAAATGGGACTTGAATCAAAAACCATGGAAAAGTTGAGCAATTAAAAATTTTTAAGAAAGCAATATATGAGAAAGTTCAAGTCAAGTAAATTACAAACCCATGAATATTTACACAGAAAGATGGATAAATACAGGCACAGATAACCATGTATTTGTCTGACTTCCCCATGTTGCCCTGTAAAATATTTTGGATTGCCAGAGCATGTTTCCTTGAGATGTTCATGCTACTAGAATACTAGGATCCTATATTAATATTAAAAAATTGAAAATAAAAATTTATTAATATTCAAATACTTTCCAATCTGTGAGACAATCAACATAATTGCCATACTGATTCTCTCATTCACATATGATGACCTAAGCCACAAAGTCTTGAGGTGGAAAGCAAACTCAGGTCTAACAACTCTAAAGCTAGCAATAAAACCATTAAGGCAAACGTTCTTCCAGTCTTACACTAAATTTTGCTGGACGTGCAAACTCCTTACAGTCTTTCGTTTCATACGCTGATCCAGTTAGACCTTGCTTCATTTAAGAAGGTAGATACTGTCCATAAATTGTATTATCTGTAAGTAAACAAGAAATTGGCACTAACGAGACCAACCAAGAGATAAAATCTTACTTCAATTTCTTCCATTCTTTGCAACATTGACTCCAGACTATGAGTGTCAGCCATAGGCAGAGCCTTGCTCTGGAGTCTCTCATTCTGCTCCATACTCCACAGCTCCTGAGCAGTATCTTCCAAAAGATCATCCAATAGCTTTTCACTCAGAATATCTGCATTTGCTGCAACCTCCTATTAAAAAACAAAAAAACCCAAAAAACCCACAGAAACAAACAAACAAAAAACCACACAGCCAATGCAGGAAAGAAAAAACCACAACCCAAAAATAAATGGGGGCAAAGGATGCTTAAAAATCAAACATTTCTTACAGCAGCTCATGGAAATAATCCAATTGTCATTTCAACTTTCCCCTTAAATGAAAAACCAAATAAATTCCTGTTTTCCTTCCACCCACACAAGAAGCCAAATCAACAAAATCGGCTTAGTATGTTCCTACCAAAAAAAACCAAAACAAAACAAAACCAAACCAAAACCAAAATCAATGAATATGAACAAAGCTTGCTAAACAACTATGTTCCCAAATGGAAGATGAAACTGTCACAGGTTCAGAGATCACCCAGGAATTCAAGAAAGTGAAGTGAAGGCCCTCATGTTAGAAAACACTACACACACACTTAACCTATCACACAGGAACAGTCTCACAGCAGCTTCAGGTGGTAATGAATAAATATATAGGACCCAGACCACAGCTGTAGGTTTCAGTTGTGTCTAATTTCACCAATTAGCTATGGTACAGTATCACTATTCATTTACCTGTATTGTTTTGTATGAAAACATTTTTCCCCGCAAAGCAACTTTATGCATTCAAGGTCACATCAAGCAAAAAGTATGCAAAAGAGATGTTAGAAAGGCTTTCTCATCGTTTCATATTGTACATGGTTACAAAATAATACTTTAGAAGGCACACATGCCCATACAATGACACTGTTTTAAAGATGTGGCTTATGTAAGTTGAAATTGCTAAGTTTGGGAAATCAGTGCTATCTTTCCAGATGCATTATGCTATACAGCAAAGATAAAAATACATCTTAAATATTAAACAGCTTTACCCTATGACATACAAATAGAATATTCCTTCTCAGCTGCATGAGTTAAAAGGTGGTTTATAAATGAAGAATCCTTCAAATGACAGTTTGTTTCCAAGGAGAGACTGATCTTCTAAATAAAACGTAAATCCTCTCATGATTATCAAGCTTTCTGTATTATTAGTCATTAATAGTACTAGTCCAAATTTATTTAGTCATTAAATAAGGTATTATAAGGATTATTAAAATAATCATATCAAGTCTAGTCATGTTCAGCATATAACTGGTATGACCATTCAAAAACAACTTTAAAATACATCTACTTGACAAGAAGCTAACAAAAAAAAATTTAATGCAGCTTTGCCAAACTTCATTACAATAATTTAAGACCCACATACTGAAATGGAAATACTCTCCAAATGTCCAAAACTGTGTTGACCACATAAATATGACTTGCATTAAGTTGAAA